CCGGGTCGCCGGGTCGCCGCGCCGGCTGACGACGTGCGGAGGGCCAGCGTCCACCCAGCGGCGGGAGTCTGACTTTCGGAGCTGTCGGCTCGAGGGGTTGCGGACCCTGACGTGGCGACCCCGCGCCCGCCGGAGGGCCTCGAGCGGGCGGCCGGCCCCGGGTTTGTGGCCAGGCTCTCATTTCCTGCACGGTGGGATGGTTTTCGCGGCTAAGGGGTGACTGAAGCGCTCTCGCTGCCGTGTTAACTTGGGGCTGTTTGTGTCCTCTTAGCAGTGCGCGCTAGCTGCGGACAAGAGGAAAGTGCGCTGTGCCAGGAGCGTGTGGGGTGCGGGCTGCAGGGGAAGCGCAGGAGCCCTTCTGAAGCCAGAAATCAGCCCAGCCAGGGGGGCTGGCCACTTAGCGTCCCGCCAAGGGTTAGTGTGCAAAGGAGGTGACAGTTGTTTTCTTCTGTCGCTGGAGCCCCAAGCAAGTTCAGCCTGCAGCAGGAAGCGCAGATGAAGGAGTTTGGATAGTGGTATTCTGAGCGCTGCATAGCACCTGAAGAGTGAGAGGCTTGTTCCACAGGTGCTTACTTTCACCTAGATAACCATCCTCGCAGACTAGCTTGGACGTTCTCTCCCCAAGGCCAGCTGACTCACTTCTGGAAGTCACTCCCCCCTAGGTGATGGACTGTGGCACTCGGCCAGGCTGAGGGCCCAGGCCCTGCAGCAGGCAGTGTGCGGCTGGCTCATGGGAAATGCGGAGGCGTGGTACAGCAGGGAGGAGGAAGGAGACTGTTGTCTCATCCTGTGGGCAGCTGTACTGCTGGCCCAGGCAGGGCCCTGTGCCCGAGCCCCACTGCCTGGGGGTGGGCAATCTGCCACCAAGGTAGGGTTCCAGTGACTGACCTTTGTCTGTGCTGTTCCGCGTCCCAGGTGGCGCACAGTGAATCATGTTAACAAGAACCAGCATTATACATGCTGACTGGGGCCTGGCTCCATGTCAAACATTCTGACATAACACTCACCCTTCTGCGAAGTAAATACTCCTAATATCTATTTTACAGGTAAGGAAAATGCGATTGAGGGGAAAAAAAGTCCCTGACCAGATCAGAGTGAGGGCTAGTGACGAAGTTCCAGGGTAGTCTGGCTGTCCTGGGTCTGCATCCCACTGCCCCGCCCACACACACAGGGGCAAGTAGCACACCTGCAGCTGGCCCACTGGCACCACCCTCCCCACAGACTGGGGGCTGTGTGCTGCAGAGGCCCCGAAGTGAAAGGCCTGGGGAGATCTGCTGAGTGTCCTTCCAGGTGGCCCTACAGGGCGCACTGTGGTTTGGAATGAGGTTGGTTTGTGGAGAGAGCAGCCTCTAGCTCAGGTCTACCACTGATTTCCACTAATTGTTCTTCTATTATTTCTCATGTTTCTATAATCTTCCTTCTCAATTGAACCGTGTTTTGTGTTTCTACCTGCGCTATATTTTTTTGGTTTGTTTTTTGTCTTTTTTGAGACAGGGTCTCACTATGCAGTTCAGGCTGGTCTTGAGCTCACTTTGTAGTCCAGGTTGGTCTTGAACTCAAAACGATCCTCCTGCCTCAGCCTCCTGAGTGCTGGGATTACAGATGTGTGCTACCACACCCAGCATCTCCATTGCATTTTCATTCTTGTTAAAAGACCAGAGGGCAGCGCTCTGCCCGCTTTGTGGCTTCTACAGTTGTGTCCTGCCTCACTCTCCCCCGGGTTGTCCAGTGACTAGCACATTTTCCAAGCGTGTCTTCTTGTACACATAGGACCTTGTGTAAGAGCCATGATGACAGGTGACCAGGTCACCCCCACCCCGCACACCAGTGTTAAGAGGATTTGTGACTCAGCTTTTAATGGATTTGAATGTGTTTATGAGAGTATAGGATGCAATCCTATTACCACTATTGAAATAAAATTGTTATTGCAGCCTATAGATTGTGCCTGATGATTCTGTAAGACCGGCAAGAAGACAGCTCTGGGGAAAGAACGTACCTTGTCCTTCCGGCCTGTGGGTTTGAGCAAGTCATTAGCTTTTCCAGGCCTCAATTTTCTCTTCAGTAAAATGGGGGTAATTATCTGCCAAGCTGCCTAATATCAGTCTTGGGTTTCTCTCAGGTTGTTATAAAGATAAAATGCAGTAAACAGATGTGGAAGCAGCTTGTGAACCAGAAAGCATTTGGACCAAGGAGTTATAACAGCTGGGTGATGAGAGGTCAGGGCCTGGGAAAGGGCTCCCAACTCCTTTACTGAAACTCGGTCACTCACCAGCCATCCCCACCTGGCTGTGCTGGGGCACTTCTGTCCTGGTGAGGCGGTAGCAGAACACAGACTCCCGTTGCCTCTGCCGGTGGAGCTTCTGGGAGGGTGCAGGTGCCCTGGGGCTGAACCTGATGTGGTGGTGCACACCTGTGAGCCCAGCACCCTGCAGGACAGACAGGAGGGCACCAAGTACCAGTCCACTTTGAGCAGCTGAATTTCCAAAATAAAAAAGGGCTAGGCTTGGCATGATGGTGCAGGCCTGTAATTCTAGCCCTCTAGAGGTTGAGGCAGGAAAATTGTTATGAATTTGATGCCAGCCTGGGCTACACACAAGAGTTGTTTTGTTTGTTTGTTTGTTTGTTTGTTTTCTGCAGAACTGGGGATTGCCAGGCAAGTGCTTATTCTACTGAGCTATCTCCCCGGCCCCACACAAGAGTTTGAGAACAGCCTGATATACATAGTGAGACCCTCTCAAAAACAAAACTAAAACCCTGAACAAATCAAAAACAGATGTTCCAGGGTCTGGACCTGAGAGGGGAGGGGTCTGGGGGCAAGCTGTCCTCCACCCTGGGCCTCCCTTGAGAGCAGCCTACCAACTGCCTGGGTGTGGGATGTGCTTTATTCCAGGCAATTTCCTGCACTTCTGTCTTGAATGTTTTGTGCTTTCTTTTTTTTTTTTTTTTTGGGGGAACCAGGGATTGAACTCAGACCCTTGCACTTGCCAGGGAAGCGCTTATTCTACTGAGCCATCTCCCTGGCTCCTGTTTTGTGCTTTCTAACATACTTGCTCATTAGTACTTCCTTATTACTGGTTCACTTCATGAACTCTATGTGCACCAGAAGGTTTTAGTGTGGCTGCCCCTTACTGTCAGAGGCCAACTTGGACCAGCTCTGGGCTGAGTCAGGACACATTCTGGGCCTCTGGGTCACAGCCTTGATGCCAGGTGCTGGCTGACAGTGCTAGGTCCATTGGGGAGGTCCCAGAAGGATCAGAGGGGGCCGGGGAGATGGCTCAGAACAAGTGCTTACCTGGCGAGCGCCAGGGCCTGAGTTCCATCCCTGGTTCTGCCAAAAAACAAACGCAGAAGGGTCAGAGGCAGCCTTCTAAGCTCATGTGGGCTGTGAGCAGAGGGCATGTCCCTGGGCTGGCCTGCCCACTTCCATTTTGATTCCAGAGGTCCTGGGCTCTGGGTCCTCCCCACTGCCAGCTGGAGATTTCAGGTGAGCATTCCTGAGCCTCAATTTCTAATCTACAAAGTAAGCACTTTGATACTCTACACGCAGAAGCTGATCTTTGGGACTCTGTGTGCGTGCATGTTGTGTGCACATGTGTGTTTGAGATAGAGTTCTACTACGTAGTCAGGCCTCGGGCCGAGGATATAGTTCGTCGGCACAGCACCTGCGCTGCCTGGCAAGCTTGAGGTCCTGAGTTTGAGTTTCAGTACCTGTTTTAGTTACTTTCTTTCATTGCAGGGACCAAATACCTGACGCCCAACATCAGGAAGGAAAGGTTTCTTTAGCTCACAGTTTGTGGAGGTTTCAGTTCATCCTCAGCTGGATCCAAGGCACAGTGGTGCTCGGCAGAGTGTAGCAGTTCATGACAGCGGAAACCAGCAAGAACAAAGGCAAGAAGGGAAGAGCAGCGGTGGCGGGGTGGCAACAGAGAGGAAGGCTCTGTCTTTTCCTTATATTGCCTTCAAGCTACCTGCCCCAGCGTGGGTGTAGCACTCACATCCATAATCCCAGCAGTACCCAGACCCACAATCCCAGCCTTGGATCATGAATTAATCACAAACTCTAGAACTGTGCCTCGGTGGCTGCATGAGGCTGTGGGAGGACAACTACACACAAACCGGAAGAGCACCAGTCAGATCAACAAGAGCCAGGGAGATGGCTCAGCAGCCTAGGCACCTGTCTGGCAAGTGCAAGGTCCTGCGTTGGATCACCTCTCCAAACAAACAAACAAAGCTCTGTAGCCAGGGCTTAAACTTGCTGTGTAGACTGATTATTTCTGGACCTTTGGGAGTGGGGAGTTAACCCAGGACCTCAGACACACCAGGAAATGCTCTACTGCTGAGACATATCCCAGCCTTGAAAACTCTCCTCACTTGTTAGGTTTTGATTTTTTTGAGACAGGACCTCATTATGTAATTCAGTTGGCCTTGCACTTGTGGCAGTCTGCCTGCCTCAACCTCCTGAGTGCTGGGATTCTCCTGTTTATTTGGTATTGGGACTCGAGCTCAAGACCTCAAACTTGCCAGGCAGTCTCTGCACTGCTGAGCACCTCCCCAGCCCTGAGTGCTGGGATTAAAGCATTCCTGGCCAGAGTAGCTGGCTTGATCTCTCTGGCTTTTGGTCCCAAGAGCACCTGACAGGACTGATCCAGTGTGTGAAGGAAGCGAGGGTCCCCCTTGCACGTGGGCAGCCTCCCTCGGTGCTTGCCTAGGATGCAGCCAGTGGTTGTGTTGGCCTTGGCTGTGTCCTCATTGTACAGTTCCAGCTGGCTGTCAGCACAACTGTCCTTCTTGCCTGAGGGGACAGAACTTGCCGTGTTCCTGAAGGGCGGGTCCTCTGGCCTTGGGCCCTTTGGTCACAGTCAAGGATTGTCGTTCACTGGCTCGTCCTGGGCCTCTTGGGCTGTGGGTTTCAAGCGCATCAGTGGTACATCTGCTGCTGTGGGATTTCCATGTGCCATGCTGAACTTTGGTTACCCCCAGCCTCCCTGCTCTCTGTCAGCAGCTGAGGAGGGAGATGCCTTTGTCCCCTGTCCCCTGGGAATTTCCAGGCTCCACCCCTCAGGATGCTGGCCTGTAGATGCTTTGTTGTGCAGAGAACAGGCTGATGGGGCCACAAGCCAGGGCTGCAGGTGCCAGAGGACCAGTCAGTTTTCAGGCTGCTCTGCTCTGGGCTGCAGATCACCAAAAGAGGTGTCTAGGATCCTGTGTCCTGTCTGAAGTTTCTGAAGCCCCTTTTGGGGCCTTGATGAGAAGCTCCGAGGCCTCTGCAGGTAATGATTGACCTGGAGAGCAAAAGGACATTTTCTGTGGAACACAAGGACCGCCTTTAAGTTGTTTTTTGTTTTTGTCTGTCTGTTTGAAACAGGGTCTCACTATGCAGCTCAGACTGGCCTTGAGCTCACTTTGTAGTCCAGGCTCCTCTCAAACTCTTGATGATCCTCCTGCCTCAGCCTACTGAGTGTTGGGATTACAGGCATGTGCCACCATGTCCAGCTCTTTGGTTTGCTTGTTAGTCTGAGACAGGATCTTGCTAGTTGCCCTGGATCCTGGATGCACCCAAGCTGGACCTGCTCCTATCTGAGTGCCACCACGCCGGGTGCCCCCAGGCCTGTGTTAAATCCCTGGTTTGGGTGCTGGCTGAGTAGACTGGAGAGTGAAGGACATGGAGTAGCTGTGGCACAGTGTGCGGGGAGGTGCTGTGAGGGTGGGGTGCAGGGAGGAAAGCTGGTTCCCAAAGGTGTGGCTCAGCCAGAACCTCTTGGTCATTCTGTGGCTGGGCTGCTGCTGCTGCTTAGCCACCTTGGGAAGCAGCAGGCCAGCTGCAGTGCAGTGCGTGGGAGCCAAGCACCCACCCCAGGCTCTGTGACATGGTGCGTGGGAGCCAAGCACCCACCCCAGGCTCTGCAGCGACGAGGGGTGCTGTGGTGGCTGCAGGCCAGTGTCATGGGGAAAGGAAGCAGGAGCTCCAGCGCTGCTTCCTGCTGTCACTCTCAGATGGCTCACAGAGAAGCAGGTGGTCCCCAAGCCTGGCGGGCAACCATGCCATCTTCCTGCAGCACGTTCAGCAGCTTCTCTCGGAGAAGCCTGTGTTGTAGGCTCATATCCGGCTCTGGCTGGAGGGAGCAGCACAGCTGAGTGGGTTACGCTGAGCGGGTTACTGAGAAGCCTGGGCTCTGGAGGGTACTCAGGCTTTCTGTGTGCTCGCACCCAGCATGCACTGCAGGCTGGGGCTCCCTTTCTGTGCTGGGATTGTCCCCAAAGCCATGCTAGGCCAGCACTCCTTCTCAGCCGCTCAGCTGCCCCCCAGACCCCTGCTGTTTTGTTTTATGAAGCCTGTTTGTTACCTCTTCCCTAAGGCAGGTTCCTAAACAGAACAGACAAAATTTAACCAACCAGTCTCACAAGCAGTGTTTACAGTGCAACGTTACTGGTAAGGTGCAGAGGGCCTAGGGCCATCAGGGCAAAGGGAATGGTTGTTCCCCTGGGCAGGAGCTGCCCAGCCCAGGGAGGAGGTGTGTGGACTGCCCAGGAGAGCTGAAAGGTGATTTACAGCCATGTAAAACTAAGATGTAGCAACAGACCAGTAGTAAGGTTCTATACTTAACTCCTGCAAAATCTATCCTTTTATTTCCTGAATGCCTTCTAAAGTTACAAAGTAAAACTGGAGCCAGGAGAGGTGACACACTCCTGTAATTCCAGCAGTGGAGAGGTTGAGACAGGAGGATCATGAGTTCTCGGGCAGTATGAGCTATATAGAGACCCTATCTCAAAACCAAAACAAAGTAAAAGTGGCCCACAGTGACACAGTGTATGAATACAGGGAACCCTGAGCACCTACCTGTCCTCAGTACTAGTTACTATGTTGTGAAAGGCAGAGCTCAGGAGGCCCACATCCCTGGCCCCTGCACCCTGGCACTGGTGGGCAAGCTCTTGGCCTCCTTACCCCCGGCCCCCGATCACAGAGTCTCATGCCCTAGTCTCATGCCCACAGCTGTGCCCCATAGGGCAGCTTTAGAGCCAGCAAGGCCGGGTGGGCTCAGCCTGCTGTGCCCATGGCCACTTCCCCATGCCCCCTGAACCACTGTGGTGCCACATGCCTGTCTCTTTTGGTGGGAGCTGGGCCCCCTGAAGAGGAACAGGGTCCCTTCGGCCTTCTGTCCAGACCCTCGCGCCACAGCACTGCAGTTCAGAGGTTTCTGCTGGCCCCCTTTATTATTACATTTATTTATTTTTTTTTTTTTGCGGAACCGGGGATTGAACTCAGGTCCTTGCGCTTGCCAGGGAAGTGCTTATTCCACTGAGCCATCTCCTCAGCCCCCCTGCCCCTTTATTATTATCATTATTACTTTTTGGTACCAGGGATAGGACTCAGGACCTTGTGCTTGCCAGGAAGGCACTTATGTCATTGAGCTATCTCCCCAGCTTATTACTATTATTTTGGTCCTCTTGAGACGTAGTCTTGCTGTGTCGCTCACACTGGCCTTGAGCTCACTTTGAGGCCCAGACTGGTCTCAAACTTGTAATAATCCTCCTGCCTCATCCTCCCAAGTGCAGGGACTACAAAACTGCACTACCATGATGTTAGGTCTAATATTTATCACCACAAGATCCAGGCTAGCCTGGGGTACACAGTGAGATGTCCAGTTGTCCCCCCAAGCCTCATGCAGTTATGGGGCAGACTTCTAGAGTTTGTGATTAATTCATGATCCAGTGCTGGGATTATGGGTATGAGTGCTGCCCTCAGCCTGGGGCAGATAGCCTGAATGCAACGTATAGGGAGACATATGGGGCGGGGGCGGGCCAGCACTGGCAGGCCCGGGGATCAACCCCCCCACCCCCCGGGCCCATGCACCTGCTTGCGGGTGCTTTAATCCACTGAGCTATTTGGCCAGCCCACTGTTTTGCTGTTTTCCACTGCCATGAAGTTTCCCTCTGCCACATGCCAGTCTGTCTGCCTTGGAGACAGCAAAGTATGGACTGAAACCTCTACAAACTGTGAGCTAAGTAAATCTTTCCTTCCTTAATTCTGGGTATCATTTTTTGGGGTTTTTTTGTGGCAGGTTCAGCCTGCCCCGGGGGTGGAGTGGCACAGCACGTGGTTCTAGGGATCAAACCACGGTCCCTGCACTTTGCCTGAACTTGCCTAAGCAGGCACTTTAGACTGTTGAGCCCGGTATCAGGTATTGGTCTCAGCAATGAGCAAGAAGTAACTGAGGGGGGCTGGGGAGATGGCTCCGTTGAATAAGCACTTGCCTGGCAAGCCCAAGGACCTGAGTTCAATCCCCAGTTCTTAAAAAAAAAAAAAAAAAAAAAAAAAGTAACTGAGGCATGAGACTATCTCAAAAAGCAAAAAAGTAGCCCCCTCAACATTGAAAGCCCAGCACACACATCTGTCACATAGCCCTGGACACTCCATAGGCACTGATGAAGAAAAAGGTGGCAAGGATCGATGGCCTCAGGATCATCGCGAAGATTGTTTGACTTTGCTGCGAGGGGTTTTGGAGACGCTGGAGGCCACACAGCACGGTGAGTCTAACTTGATTCCCTTCAGTGTATCTAGCATAAAAGACCTGGTTTGTGCAGTGTTGAGAAGCAGAACAAATGGGTCGTGGGATGTCACTGGGCTGTAGAATAGCCAGCCCTGCAGCCTGTCTGGACTCCTCTGGGAGATGAGGCACCTCCACCACGTGCAAGGAGAGGCCCACTGCCACTGGTGCTGCTGGTGCCGACTCAGCACCTGCGTCTCACTGCCAGACAAAGACACTTGTGCAGGACTGTGATGTCTAGCGATGTGAGCTGCTCTGCAGCTGAGATGGCCTAAAGTGGCCATCGAGGAGCTGAAGGTCTCTTATTGTTTTTGTGGTGCCAGAGGTTGGCCTGGCACCTCACATGCCAGGCAAGGTCTAGCACTAACCTACATCCCTGCCTGCCCATGAATGTTATTTGAGCCAGAATCTCACTGTGTAGTTCAGGCTGAACTCACTATGCAGCCACAGCTGGCTTCGACTTCCCAGGGAGCGTCCCAGGACTAGAGGCATGTGCCACCACACCTGGTGCCAGCGCTCTGCATTTTGGGCTAGGCTCTCCCAGGCTCAGTTTCGATCCTTCTGCCTCAGCTTCCTGAGTAGCTAGAACAGGCAGGTGTGTGCCACAGCACCTGGAAACATGGAGACGCTTTGAAAACAGGCTATGAAATAAACCAGTCAGAAAAGGACAAAAACTGCAGGTTACACTAGATGAGGTCCTGAGTTTACAGAGTTGGGGGGAATGGGGAGTTACTACTTAAGAGTAGTTTTAGGGCCAGCAAGGTAGCTGGGTGGACAAAGCTCCTGCTTAGGCAAGAATGGGACCATCACACGGTGCACCTGGGGAGGCTGAAAATAGGAGGATCACGACGAGTCTAAGCTGTGTAGTGAGACCCCAAACCAAATATATAAATAAAAAAAAAAAGAGTAGTTTGTTTTACAAGATGTTATCATCACTGAATTCACGCTTAAAATTGTTAAGATGGTAAATTATATGTTTGTAGTTTACCACAGTAAGAACTGGGAAGCAAAAAGAAGAAAGCTGGCTGTGGTGATGTGCCTCTGTACTCCAGCTACTTAGTAGGGTGAGGCATGGGGATCACTTTCTGCTAAATTGCCCTGGCCAGTCATGGTAAAATAAATAACCCTTGCACCAACCCAGCAATAGAAAACTGAGTATCTGGGGGACAGCCCCCCAAGCACCACAGGTGATAGGGCTATAGGAAGAACATGTATTATGTATTCTAAACATAGGTGGCTGTGATAACCCTGAGGGCAGGACCCTGGGGACCAGCGGAGGGGGGTGCATCCCAGTGCCGGGGGAGCTGGGGGGTGGAGAATGGGGTGACTGTGAAGCGAGCTGGGCCTGATTTTGGTGCCAGAAGTGCTGGGCCGGGCAGGTGGGATCCAGGCCCAGCTGACAGCCCTCATATAGCCATGAGGAGGTCAGGGGCGGGAGGTACCAGGGCCTGGCCTGCTCAGGCCACTTCTTCTTTTTTTTTTTTTTTGTATTTAGTACAGGGTCTACAGGGTCTCACTACACAGATCGGACTCATAGTGAGTCTCCTGTTTTCAGCCTCCCAAGAGCTGGGATTACAGGCACACGCCACCACGCTCAGTCTCAGTTGCCATCTCAATGTGCCCTGGGAGTGGGGCCTGCATGGCACGCTGGGGATCGAACCCCAGTTCCTGCCGAAGCAGGTGCTTTAATCTGCTGAACTATCTGGCTGGCCCATGCTCAGGCCATTTTTCTTGGGGTGCTGGTGAATGAACACACTAAGCCACACTATTAGCTCCACAGCTGCCTGTGCCACCTGTGTGGAAGAAGAGGCAGCCAGCAGTGGCCACTTCCCAGCCTGTGGGGAATGAGGAGGTGCCCCCCTGTGCAGAGAAGCCGCCCTGTCCATGTAGCACTGGTGACACTGGGCAAAGAGTGGGGAGAGGCCTCAGTGCTACATGGAGCGAAACCCAGTCCTGCCTCCTTTCCTGGGGAACTTGGGCCTGCACTCTGCTGTCCCTTCCCTGAGCATTGGCCTTCTTTTCTGCAGCCATGCTGGGCTTCCTCTTGGTGAACATTTAGCTTCTGGTTGCTCCAGGGACAGAGGCAATGGAAGGCACATGTGGGCCCCTGGCTGGGACAGGCTGTGTTCAGCTGTCTAATTTCACAGCTTCATGGTTTGTCTCTGGCAAGAAGCAGGCCCCAGCTTTGCTTGTAGAACAAATTCAAGAACTTTGGGGGTGGGGTGGGGTGGGATGTGAGCAGGAGCAGTGGCGGAGGTGTCCAGGAAAGGCCTTGCAGGGACACCCTGGAGACAAGGGTGACCATGGGCAGTCTGGGGACAGGCCTCTACACCAGTCCAAACTGTTGTCTCCAGGGCAGGGCCAGGAGCTGCACTAGGGAAATCCCGGCCCAGTAGTACTGTGTACCATGCTGCGGGGGTACCCATGGAGACTGGGGCCGAAGTGTTGTCTGCTACCATGTTGTTTTTCTGAGATGGACTCTGTGTCACCAGGCTGGGCTCAAGTCATTTTTGTGCCTCAGTTTCCCAGGCAAGTGTGCTTCCAGGTGTTTTGAAGACCCCTTAATAAGCTGGGCGTGGCAGTGCACAACTGTAACCCCAGCACTCAGGCAGCTGAGGCAGGAAGACCACGGTGAGTTGAAGACCAGCCTGGGCTACAGGGACCCACTGTCAAACAAAGCAAGCAAACCCACAACTATGTAGGTTATTTCTGTGGGAAAACTAGGAAGAGGTGGCCATGTGGCTCCTGGACTACAGTGAAGTGTTTCTTCCAGTCCCTAGAAATGCCTGGAAAACAGAATGTAGACACTTGGATCAGATGTAGTGATGGGGGTTCAGGGCAGCACCCCCACCCCCTCTTGATACTGCTACCTTCTTTTTGACAGGGGCATGAGCTAATATAGGCCCAAGAGCCAACTGAGGTACCCTCTTACGCTTGGTAACCATATCCATGTACACTTCTACCTGCACGGAAGTGACTTAATTTCTTCCTACTGCTGTATTTTTCTCTACCATGCTGTATTTACTTAACATGTTCTGCTTCTGTGAAACTTGTTTGCTCTTAGTATGTTTTCAGAGTCAGTTTACAAGACAAATTGCCTGCTTACTCATGTTTCCTACTTAAAACTCCCCAGAGAGATTATTTGATAGATTTAGGTCAGTATTTTTGCTATAGATAAGATACAAATCAAAATAAAAATACTAGCTTCTAGTTCACACCCATCCAGGCCAACAGGTGAGGGTGAGGGTCTTGGGTTTTTAAAAAAAAAATTATTTATTTATTTATGTGTGTGTGTGTGTGTGTGGCCAGCTCAGCCCACCAGGGGGCAGGGCTGGCTGGCATGTGGTGCTGGGGGATTGAACCGCGGTCCCTGTGCTTTGCTAAGCTTGTTCTAAGTAGGTGCTTTAGACCTCTGAGCCATCTCACCAGCCCCTTGGATTTTTTTTTTTTTTTGGCGGAACCGGGGATTGAATTCAGGCCCCTTGAGCTTGCCAGGGAAGCACTCATTCCACTGAGCCATCTCCCCGGCCCCAGTCTTGGATTCTTAATTTTACCAATTAGACCAGGTATGAAAGGGAACCTCTGGGGGCCGGGGAGATGACTCAGTGGAATAAGCGCTTCCCTGGCAAGTGCGCAAGGGTCTGAGTTCAATCCTCGGTTCCTCAAAAAAGCAAAAGAAAAACAAAAACAAAGGGACCTTCTGGATTATCGTTTCATGAATTCTCAGCCTGTGGGCTGCTCTTATCTGATGAAATTACTGGTTCTGGGCAGGAAGGACAAAACCTGGCTGCTCCAGAATGCTTAAATTCCAGTTACAGCACAATACTTGTACAGCAAAGTGTGCCAGGGCCTGTTTTAGGGGTTTCACACCAGCTTCATCTTTTCTTCTCGGTGACCTCATGAAATAGGTGAGGCTCACTGGAGAGCTAAGGTGCTGAGGCCGAAGGGGGCTGGTGGGGTGGGGAGGGCTGCCTGACCACATCCTGTCGTTAGCCCCACCACGCCGCACGAGGAGGAAAGGTCATCTTTAAAGCCGCCTCCACTCTTGAGGTGTTCATCCATGACTTCTTCAACTTTTACCTTGCTTATCGAATTTCCCAGAGTCCAGAAAAATACATAATTTTAAAAAGCACTAAAAAAACATCGATTTTGGCCATCTACCTTCTCCTGGAAAAGCGCGCCGATGCTTTGCCGGGGTCCCGAGTCACTGGATTACTCTGCAGGGTAAACTACATCCCTGTAGCTCAAATGCAGCTTTCCCGCATTTGTAAACTTGCGAGTTACAAGACCGTTCGGGCCTCCTCGCCGAGCTCCGTCATCGCCTCCCGCGTTCCGGGGCAACGAGCCGCCCTTGCTGGGCACGGGGCTTTCCGAGGCTGCGGGCGCCTCACGACGCAGCGGCGAGACGCGTCTCGGGGGCTGCTCTGGTGCTCCAGGGCCGCGCGTCCGGGCGCCGAAGCCTCAGGTCCCGAAGCTCGTCTCCCCGGAGCCGCCCCAGAGCCCTTCGCGGAGCCGAGGGCGACAGGCAACAGCTACCCTCCCTTCCCTTCCACGCCCGCTGCGGGTCTGGGTTCCGGCGCCAGAGCTGGCCAATCGTCGCGGCCAGCAGCGCAAGGCCCGCCCACCGCGTGACGCAGAGGCCAATCCGCTTGCCCGCGGCCCTTCCCGTGAGGCTCCCGCACGACCGTGGCCAATCGTGTGGACGCCCCCCTCCCGCCTCAGGCCTGTAGCGGAAGCCGTCAGCGCCACCTGCCCTTCACCCCAGCAGCGCACTTCCGCCCCGCCGCCGTGACGTGCGCAGTCTGCGGCCCGGCGGGGCGGGCCAATGGCGGGGGCGGACACGGCGGGCCAATGGGCGGGAGCGTCTCATGCGGCCCGCGCCCGCCGCAGCCGCC